AGCGCGCAAATCCGCTGAGGCGTATTCCAATGCCCGGCCTGCGAAAGGTTTGTTGAAAGAGTTCCGGGTTTGGAGTTGTTGGGAAAAAACGTTCTGCTCTGAGGAAGAGAGAAGCTCACGTGCAACCGAGCCACCATTCTGGCGGACAGCACATTCCACCAGAGCTCGTTGCGACCTGGTCTGCTTTGTCTACTTTCCGCTTGAGGACAACTCTCCCGATGCTGCGTGCGGAACGTGGTGCGAAACTGCGGAAATGTGGTGCGGATTTTCGTCAGCGTAATGCAAGTAGTAAGGTCGAAACGTTTGCTCCGGTGGCAAGATACTCAAGATGCGCCAGCTCCTGTAGCAGTCCAGACTTGAGGCTGTACTCTGCAAAAATCCTTTCATGCCTGCAGGCTGCAACAGGTTCTGCTCAAGCAACGAGGATCATGTCCTCACACTGATCCTCTTCCATTCCAGCATTGTTCTGTTAGAGATGCCTGCGCGCTGAATTCCAGAGCCCGGATTGCAGAGTCTCACCGGAATGCGTTCTGTGGAACGATCTGCAGCAACCGGAGTAGTGCCACTGTTCCCAGGGCATAAAGGAATCATTAGTAAATCATTCGGGCGTGGCTGCCAAAACTCTGAGCAATGCTCGATCAAATCTTGTTGGTGCAACATCATCCTATCAAAGATGTTTTTGCTTCTTAGGATCGGTGCCTCCTGCAAGTTCTCGGCCACAAGATACAAACTTGGAAGAGTGCAACCCTGAAGCCCTCCAATATGATAGCCAGCACCTCTGCACCGCGCGATAGCAGAAGTCGCTGTCCGACCACAGCCGTGGGACCACATAGCGGTGTGCCCTGCAGGAGAATCTAGGGAATCTAGATAAATGGGGGATAGTAACGTCAACTCATGGCACGGAGTCCCGTTTCATAATGTGGAAGCCCCCACCCATTTCATACTTAAGGGGTATCTGAAGGGGTATGCAAAACTCACATAGACTAGTCGAAGTCACTTGCACGCAATTGCAAAGCTTTATGGGGGTCCCGAAGCTGGCAGGGGCGGGTTGTCTTGTGGCTTGGGGTCTTATCAGGAGTCGAGGACTTTGCTTTTGCATGCCTGCCTCCAGGTCTGCTCCAGAGCAGTCAGGACAACCTCCTGATCAGAAGGTGCATCCAAGGACATCCAAGGTGCAGCGAAGACTATGGATCTTGAGTAAGTGCCAGTTTTCAGCAATTCTGCGAAGCAAGTCAGCCCCTCCCCGCCAAAGGTATGCGTTGCATGGCTATGTGTCGGTAACAGAAGTCCCGGTCACCTGCCGAGCTGAAAAGGCTGGCGCCGCTGTTTGCGAACGTTTCTAGAAACGAGAGCTCGTGCCACTCACACTCTGCAAATTCAAGTGCCGACAAGAACACCAAGCACAAGGTGAAGACACAGGTATTTCTTGAAATTGGATGGAATTAGAATCTCCCCATGCCCCAAATTGGCACGGTGCTAAACACGGAGCCTCGTCAGCTTTGAGCGACTCAGCTGCAAATTTCAAAGCCTCGCCCTCTTGCCTGCAAAGCTGCAATCTGCTGTGCGATGCTTGTTTGAAGGATCCATGTTCAAGGACCTTAACTTTTGCATGCTTTTGCTGTTGTAACTCATGCACCAGCATGATGAAGATTCCGGCTCTTCTTTGCGTAGGAATCTTGCGTCCACTTATGCGACATGATATTGCATCATTATGCGCCCCAGTGCGGGCCACGTCAACCCCGCAAAATAGTCTGAACACCGTTTCGATTTATGACTCCTCCTGCTATGACTACCCGCATTATCATCGCCAGGTGTTCCCGGTCCGAATCCAAACTTTTGCTGCCCTTCACGCCATGCCTTACCGCAGCCAGCACCACCTGACGTGCGTGTTGCAAGTTCTGTGGCAGCTACCGCGGTGCTCTGAAGCAAAAGTCCCAGGGTAAGGTTAGCCTTGTTCTCACTGTTGGCTCAGGCTGCTCATGGCTGATTTGGGACATGGACATCGATGTGTGCATTGCACTGTAGACACGGCAAACTCCCGGAACCTCTGTCTGATGCTGCTGACACTGTTGACAGCGCTGCCACCATGAACAGCTTGGTTGCTCCCCATTGGTTTAAGACCAGCCAAATTCGGACACGGCAAAATCTAAAACATCCATTCAAATATTGGAGGTGCTGCAACCTCAGAACATGCTCTGCCCAACTTGCCTAGTAATTATTGGCGAAGGGAGAATCATGCCCTGGGTATGCAGCAAAATCTCAAGTAGCTCGAATCTCAGATTCTCCACGACAAACCTGTACGCAATCGGATCATCAACTTCCCGAATGTAGCAGCCGATAATTGTTGGAGTGTCTGGCTAGCCTTCTTGTTGGCCCGCAGTGCCACGGATGCATGCTCCAGTGCGAGGCCATGCCTCAGACCAGCCGCGCCCGCTGAGTGAGCAGTCAGAATCAGCACCCCTACTGTTACTGACGGCGCACTGTTTCATTCTTCTTCGCTGTTCCAAACGCTCTCGTAAGAATTCCGGCCCAACAACTATCATCATGGTCCTCTATCGCCTTTCAAATTCAAGTCCAAAAAAACGGCAGCTTCAAAAGATAACACTTGACACGCTTGTCTGGACACAGGCGCAGCAGCTCTAGCCTTCTGCTCTCCTGGGCCTTCAGCAGAGCATCGGCTTGAGTCAAACATTCAGGCAGCTTGTTGCGCTTAGCGAAAATTGAAAACTGCCATCTTTTTTGCAACCTCTGTAAATTCCTCGCGGGCTGCCGCAGCATCCGGCGTTCTCGATTCACGTACTTTGGACTCGTTGATTTTAGCGAGAAGTCCTGGGGACAAGTGGGTCGCTCCCAGGAAAGAACAAAAGACCTGAAAGCCCTGAAACCTGCTACAACCACCAGGCCTTCTCTTCAAGGGGCTCTATCTATTACACCGACAGCTCGATTCTCCGTACAGTGGCTGAAAGCAGTAGTAGGAACTGTAGGGTGGACGTGGGCAAGATACTGCACGACGGCTGCCAGCATGAAGTTGAGGTCCCCCTGCAGTTGCGCGGAGGCCAGAAGCAAAGCCTGAGGGTCCTGAATTTCCAGACTGCTCGCTGGGTCTTGCCAGGGGAACGTTAGCTAAAGAACACAGGGAATGACCCCGGGATCTGATGAGGCTCCCGCTGACTGCAGAGCAAAGTGAATTGCTTGACTTCCATGTAGGATGTCCCCAGGGCCAAAAGCACTAAGCAGCAGACAACAACATCCATGCTGATGCTGAAGGTTGTGCAGGCGAAGATATGGTTACAGCTTCTTTCGAACCTCTTTTGCGCGGATGGCGTGCGTTTTGCTGCGAATGCTGCGAGTTTCGAGCTGAACGGTCTAGGGAGCTCCAGAACTATCATGTCAATGTGGCAATGATACCAGCAAACCAAACACACCAAACGTCCTGCGCCACGGCCTTGCGCACAACCTGTGCAGATCCATCTGAGACAGTCAACACTGCATGCCCGGAAGCACGTCTGGAAGTCAAAAGCTCTGGGCCTCATAACAAAAGAATTGTATACCAGACTCTGGTAACTGGTGACCGGATGGCTGGCCAATTCCGGACATCTCAGATTTGAGACCTGAAGCCCTCCTTACCTGCACCAAACCCCATGACGTGAAGCCAGGGTCAAAGTCCAAGTTTCCCAGAGTCACCAACACGGGCATCCAGAGGAAAGAACACTAGGCCCAATACGCCCTTGTGTGTCCAAAGCCTCCCGATCCCCGCGCATCGCGCGCGAGGCCGCCCGCAGCGCCCGCCAGTCCTTGGCAAAGCTAACGCTCTTCCGGAAATCAGGGCCGGACGGCTGCTTGACTCGAAGACACGAGCAATCCAGATTGCATGTTGGATAGCATATTGGAGTCTAATTCATCTGGTCATAACCCAAAGCTTCTACCCAAGCACGAACTGTTCAGACCTGCACATCTTCAACAAAAGCTGCTGCGCCTGGGCAACAGCTCGCAGGACCACTTCTTTGTCTGCCTTGCAGGTCCAACTTGAAACTCGGTACACAGTCATGCTTGCAACCGGGATCCTCTTATTCAATCTCATTCAGGGTGTTTGGTGTGCCAGCAGGAAAAAATAAACCCTCCTTACTAAAGCGTAGACTACGCCGCCTACTTTTTATCACCCGGAATCTTAAATAGGTGTAACAGGTCATTTATACTATCTCCGAAGCCCGTGGCCCGCGGCCGCCTCATTTTTATAGAAAGGAACTTCAATTTTAGGCCACAGTACGGTGCCCTCCAGCCCCTCCAGCCCCTCCTCCAGCCCCTCCAGCTCCAGCCCCTCCCCCTCCAACCCTCCAGCCTCTGCCCCTCCAGCCCTCACAGCCCCTCCGCCCCCAACCCCCGCAGCCCAGCCCCTCCAGCCCCTCAAGCCCTCAGCTCAGCCCATCCTTCGGTTTTTTAACACTTTAGGCTTTGTAGGATTGGGTTTAGGATCAAACCCGTTGCAAGCGACAATCATCTACTGGCAAACACCTTTCCACCGCCGCCCAGCAATGGTAGCAACGACGGCTGGACAAAACTGGAGGCTGGGCTGTGGAGGGCTGAGAGCTGGAGGGTTGGAGGGTTGGAGGGTTGGAGGGCTGGAGGGCTGGGGCTGGAGAGTTGGAGGTGCTGGAGGGATTGGAAGGCTGGAGGGCTGGAGGGCTGGAGGCGCGGAGGGCTGGAAGGTCGACTATTTCAGAGCTGGCCCAAAACTTTTAAACATCCGGATTTAAACAGATCTTTTATACTACCTCCGTGAGCACCAGCCTTTGGCCGCCCTCCTTATAGTCAAAAGTAGGCACCGTAGGTCCACAGCCATTTCATTGCCACAACAAACCGAACTCGGTACGCAAACACGACAGCATTACTAGAGCTGCAATCAGCGACCATCTCCCAATTGGGCTCAGTGATTCGACCTACTGGGCCTTGAAGCCCCGACTGCAAACCCTCCGACCCCGCTCCTGCAAGGCTGGAGAGGCATCAGCCAGTGACCTAAGCACCGTTGCCAAGAACGCTTTCGCGCTGGATTCTCGCTAGCCGTTTGCACACAGCTTTCAAGGATTTTGGGCTGCAACAGGATCGGGCTGGCTTTCGAGGCGCAGGCTGAGCTCAAGCTCACGGATTGCTTATAGCATAGCAGCCCAGCAGGGGCGACCAGGCAAACAAGACGCCGCCAAGAGCAACCTCCGAATAATTACTCCTGACCTGCCCTGCCCTGAAAATGTCTTTCTGGTTCTCATACATGTCGTATACTTGGGATGCTTGAGCTCATGTCGCAGGTTGAGGATGGCTTGATGTCGCCAGGAGGCAAGCCATGCCGCTCAACGGCCATCAGCACCACCTCCTCCGGCTGCGAAGCAGAGATGGGGCAAATGAAACACTAGCAGCAGCAGAATAGTCACAGAAGTGAAGGCAGCCCAAGTATTGATGCACCTTGGTCGAGCTTCGCAGTCATGGGAGGAGGCAGCAGTTCCGCCCCACACACAGAGGCAGCACCCGTGTATGACCCTGGTTGCCTGCATCTGGAGTAGATTCGCGTCCTTATCATCTCGTAAATTGCCCGCAGCAATTCCAAGCCGGCACTGGTCGGTCTGCAGCGCTGACCTCATACACCAGTACATTAGGCGCATAAGAGCACTGTTACGGTCATGGTTCCTTCGCAATACCCCTCATTTTGGAACTCAACATTAAATAGCGCTGGTCGCCCTAATCTAGTTCTAGAAGAAATTCTCACACGCATATCCTACAACTTCGTGCTTGGGAAGCGGCATCAAGAAGGTGCGATCTGCACGTAGGGATGGATCCATAAACCTTGCATCACAGCTGGCCTAGTTTAGCATCCTCGGACTTGATGTCGCCAATTGCAAGACACAGGAACCTCTGCAGCCTTTAAATGGATCAGCAGATCTGGGACCCATGGCCCTGCAGAAAGATGCAGCTGACCTACTCATGCACAGGACGTCTTCTACAGCGGTCAGAAGCGCAGTTCGGTTGTCAAACCCACACAAATTGAGATCCCCCCGCCAAAAAAACGCTTCAGACCAAGAAGCAGGATGGCCGCCCAAGCCTTCAGGTGGTCGATACGCAACGTATTCTTCCCCATGCACTTGCCATGCTGTACAAACAAAATCCTGCATGCACCCGTGATGGTGTACTTGATCATCATGCCTGAGTGCAAGTACGCTGATACTAGCGCTTCACACATTTGAAAGCACGTGGACCTGGCCGTAGCCAATAAACCATAACCATACCAACTAGATGAATTACCATGTGGCCCTGGAAAAAAACCCTGTCGTGGTCATGAGGGCCTGGGAGATGGCAGCTAGGCAAATCTCCCGGTCGCAGCGCAGAGCGTCGCTAGCAAATTGCAGTGCGCACCAGTCCTCTTCCAGGGTTCGCCGGGATTCTAAAAGAACCCGAATGAAGCTGAGATTAGAAAACTGACTGATAGGGATCAGTTCAGTTGGCGTCGATCGCTGGAAACTCGGCTGAAGACACTTACTGGAACATAACCTGACTGATCCCAACCTGCTCAACCATGGGCCTACGCAGCATGTCGTGCTGGTCATGACTTGGTTAGCTTGTTCGGGCTGTTGTTGTTTTTTGACACGAGGCAAGGGCATGAATCAGATCGGTGACATATCCTGCCCCCGCATAAGTTTTACTCAGCGCCTGCTTCACGGCTGTCAGAACCACCTGCTTGTCATCCCGCAGCGCCTCGTAGAAACAAAGGGCAACTTTTGAAAGCTACAGAAGCTCATCAAGAATCATCAACACATGGGCTGTTGCCAATATTCTTGTTCCTGGAACTGACCTTGACTCGGTTTTCCCTGCGTGCCGCCTTATGCGGTAAGCATCTTGCAGGACCATATCATGATGAAAGGTTTGGCTCTGATTTTTCGAAAGTGTCAACTGTATCTAGCGCGGTGCTTTTTTTTCTA